TTTGGGCCGTGGCATATATATTGAGAAGAGAAAATTTTGTTTTATCATCCCTACACTTTCTATCCGGTTAGCATAGGTGTCATAGGAGGATAAATTTCCCAACTTCCCTCATCTGTTTCTGTTGTATGAGTGTCCTAGGAAATCAAACTCTGTCATCACTACCTCTTTGTTTCTGCTCACTGTACAGCTTTGATATTAAGGCATACAAGTCTAAAAAATGAATTATGAACTTGGAAGAGATAGCCTTTTCGTGCCTTAGGACCGTTCCTTGGACCAGAATGGTAATATAGACTTGCATGTGATAAATATGTATGGACCGTAGGTTTAAAGGCCTCCTTCTCACACCCTAGCCTTGAAGAGAAAAATATGTAATTGAAAATGTTAAGTCACTAGTTAATAACATCAAAAACCGAATATGAATGCTAATGGAACTTTGGATTCTTCGTTGATTATAATGGAATAAATTCTGCTTTGGTGAACCTTGATATTACTAAGTCCTATATACATTAAATAAACAACATGATATATAGGCTTTCTTTTGCGCACCATAGGAGTGGGAAGTAGAAATTGTATGATTGAAACCTTGAGAATTTTCTGTATGTAAAACCGATGCTGTTTGGGATTGGAAATCTTAGAATTATTCGTTGTTACGCGTTTGAAAAAGAAAATTATTATGGAATCCGAATATGGTTAGGAACAGCATCCTAAAAACCGATTAGGAATTTAAGGAAAAATGGGCTAAAAACATATGTTGTATGTAGGAAATTTGTGACGTACGATTCTGACTTGAAACCTTGTTGCTTAGGTGCGCATAACTCTTGAATAGGGATTACTTCGCTGCTGTTTGGTAAATTGTTGTGGCACGCGAGGTATGTGTAGGCGGTATTACCTAATGTGACTATTGGCTAGTGTATGGAATTGTGATGTGATGCTCACATTTGTTCTATGTATGTTATGATGATGATGAGCCAATGGTAAGAATATGAAAGGATGATATGATATATGCATGCATTTTACATCATAATACATTTTTCTGTTGGGTGCGATTGCATAACATGGCATGTATACTTGATTCATGACATCTTGAATATATATATATTTGTATTGAGGACATGTGACTGAGCATGCATCATATAGGCATGCCTGGTACCAGGAGAGGGGACAATTGGCTTCAGTCCGCATAGGTTCCACAGTGGGATTCACCTTCATGGGAGCCATTAGGAATACCCACTGTGATGCTACACGCACGACGGTGCTATGAGCGTAAAGGAAAAAGGGCGTTATATACGCGTTATGATATATGATGAAAAAGATTAAATGTTTGAAGTGACTATTTATGATTTTGTGCCTAGTTAATACTGTTGCCTTTGGTTTTGTTGCCACACTACTGGGTTTATTCTCACCCCTTTGGGGCTGCAATTTTTAAATTGCAGAAGGACGTAAAAGCATTTGAGGACTTGGATGTTGAACTCTGTTATATTTTTGCTGCTGTCTGGATTTATTCACTGTTGACTGTTTTAAGCTTGGGATGACTGTATTATGTGGTACTTGATGATTTTTGGAGGACTGTAAAACTATGACTTATTTCTGCTTTAAGTCTTTTTATGAACAACGGCTGCTTTAAGAAATCTGAAATGTTTTGCGAAAATGGACTTTCTTAACGTTTATCAAATGCTGAATTTTTAACGATTTACGGACAACTTACGAGTTATGTTTCGAGGGGCAAATGAACTCCGATTTACTATTATTTTATATGCACACGAAGCCCCAAGCGTCTACTTTCAGATTCTGGAAACCGTACAAAAATATTTTGAAAACTCGATTTGATATTGATTTTGTACACGAACTGTTTTTTGGAAATTTCCAACTTTGCAAACAGCAAGGTTTTTACAAAGTTTTATCAAGAAAATCTGATTAGCTTTCCACTTTCATCATTCAAGGGTATTTTAAAAGAAAAAGTTCGCTACTAAATTCCGCAACTCTAATAACGATTAGCAAATGACTCTCTTGGATGCATACAAGGGAGGGTGTTACACAGGGTTCGTATTCACCTTAAATGGTGGGGCAATATCTTGGAAGAGTTCCAAGCAGGAGACAACAACAGATTCAACGACAGAAGCTGAATAAATAGCTGCTTCAGAAGCAGCTAAGGAGGCCGTGTGGATCAAGAAGTTCATATCTGAACTTAGGGTGGTTCCAAGCGTGGATGAGCCCATACAGTTGCTTTGCGACAACACTGGAGCCATTGCGCAGTCAAAGGAACCTAGGTCTCATCAAAGATCTAAGCGCGTGCTCCGCAGATATCACCTGATTAGAGAAATTTTTGATAGGATGGATGTAAAGATGGATTATATTCCCACAGATGATAACCTAGCCGATTCTCTGACAAAGGCTGTTTCTCAGAGAAAACATGATAGTCATTATGAGGCTTTGGGTATACGACTTAGGTCTGATTGGCTCTAGGCCAAGTGGGAGCTTGTTAGTATATGGATGTCCCAGAGACAATCTTTTAATTAGATTAGGACATATGTGGACCTTTGTATTATCACAAATAAATAAAAGCACTATTTATCCTGTTTCATATTTTGTCTCAATATTACTGTTAATATTTTATATGAGTAACTGGATAAACCCCTTGGAATAAAATAGGTATCTCGTGAGTATCTGTGATGAGATCACGATCATGAGGATTCAAGGATACTGGATATTTATTCCTAATTTTATGTTCCTAGTCTAGAGACACTGAGAATGGGGATCAGTGATCTCGGGTAAGACTAGCACGACTTATCTACTTGTATTCGGATGCAAGGTAAAGACCTCATGAGCTACAGATATGGAGATGTCTTAGCTAAAGTCGTGGGTGGATCTATAAGGGTATATAGCTCGCACTGAACAGACCCACAAAAGAGACTCTATGAGGAAATCTCACAGAGAGTATCATTAGAGTAGTCTCTTTATATTTGGGTATGTCTTTCCTTAGACCAGAAGTTATTACCTAGACTGTGTTCTAGAAGGCATGTTTTGACTGTATACCTTGTCTGCCTGAAACATGGAGACTCATAGGTATACTGTTGGGCTTGTCCTGAAAGAGCACAGGGCTAGGGCGATAAGCTGAAGGAATTCGTCAAATCTCTGTGAGAGATTAGGTTATCTGTAAATCGGAGAAATCGGGATGACATTTACAGGGACTCAGGAATCTATGCATAGTAAAAGAGATCATGAGATGATCTGCCTTTAGAGTCAGTAAATTGAAGATTCCCTATTTTGAATAAAGCTTACCCTAAACCGCAAGGGTTGATACGCTTCCTTACCCTAGGTTTTATGGGAAGGTAACCGAGACGAAAAGAAATACATACGGCAACCAAATATGTGTAATAGGATGATCAAGTCATTAATCTAACTAGCTCTGGGGCAACAAAGCATTGCTAGTGCTCTGTGTTGTCATTAAATGGGTTGTGGGCTTGTTGGGCCTGAGCTCATTTATGTCAGTGGCTATGTTGGACCTAATGGGTCACACACTAACACCTTAATGTCATGATGATATAGCATTAAAGGTATTGGGCCTAATAACGGTTGTTAGCCCAAGATGAAGTTTGGAAGCCCACCTAAGAGGGAGAGGGCGCATGGTATTGTTAATGGGCTTGGATGGTCCAAGACATTACTAATTAATTTAATTAGTTAAATTAATTATCAAATATTTAAATTTTGAATTTTGAATTTGAAATTTGAATTTTGGATTTTGAATTTTGAAATTTGAATTTTGAATTTGAAATTTGAAATTTGAAATTTGAAATTTGAATTTGAAATTTGAAATTTGAAATTTGAAATTGAAATTTGAATTTGAATTTAAAATTTGAATTTGAATTTAGAATTTAAATGTTTGAACTTTTGAATTTAAATGTTTGAATTCGAATTTGAATTGGCTATGAAAAGTTGTTTCATAACAAAAGGATAAGATGAGATCTTGTTGGAACAAATCCCTTGTATCATGAGAAGATCTATGGAGATCTCCAAGGGCTGATTCGGGGCGCCATTTTGGTGGGAGATGATTGTCATCTTGTCAAACCAACAAGCTCCAATCAGATTTGGTTGTTGAGAGAATCAATGAGCTAGTTGGTTCAAACTTGAATGCAACAGCTCAAATGTATCTGGACCCTTTTTGGGCTGAATAGGGGCGCATGAATTGGTGGTCATATGATGACCATTGGTTCAGAATTTTGACTAGATAAAGACCTAGTCTTATGAGGATTCAAAGGGGAGGTTGTTGGGATTTTTGAATTGCAACAACTCCACCTTTGTCTCACCCACTTGTGCGCCACTTTCATTATAAGTAAAGTAAAAAATTCTGATTTGATACACTAATTCTCTCCCTCTCTTGTGCGCCTAGTTGATGAGTTCCTCCTTAAGGTTTTTCAAAAGAACCTAGCCAATTCTTCTATACCATTCCCACTCTTGTGAAGTTTTCATGCTGGAGACTTCACTCTTCTAAACACATATACCTAGCCTCCTTCTTCACCTATTGAGCGCATAGCAAGCCTCTCTGTGGTGGTCAATTGGTGGCTTTCAAGAAAGCGTTCTTGCATCTTGACGTGGGTGGTGTGGATCAACGTTAGAGGGTTTGAACCCTTCAAACCTAACACTGATCGTCTTGGAGTTTTGAACTCACAAACAAAGGTAACATCACATGCCATAAAGCATGATTCTTGATTGCATGTGTAATTTCGCATATGAAAAATTTTGTTTTTCACTCTCACATGTTACGGCCTTCAAGGCCATTTTACTTTCACAGAGATCACAATTGCAATATCACACAACATGCCATATACATGTCAATCAACATATCAATAATGCATGAACATACTATTACACACATTATCAAAGAGCACACATCCAACCATCAACCCCAACTTGGGCATGGTGGAACACACAAGGGGATTAACCCCAGTACTAAAAGTTTTCCTCAATTCCAAAAGCAATGCTCTCTAACGTTACCTCCAAGCTCAATACACCTCTATTGAATCCGTGAGAGGTAACCTACAATGATCATCAACAACTTGATCACAAGTCATAACAATCAAACAACACACAATCACTCTCACATTCTAACCCAATTTCCATCAAACTATCTCCATATAGCCAAAGGGCATCTTGTCACAAACCAAGGGATTTCCAATTGTTCTATCATGTTTCATTTTCATTCAACATCCACATTAAATTCTCCAACAACCTACACATAATTTTCACCAACCATATTTAAGACCCCAATCACAATTCTCATTATAAATTTCTCTAAGTTACAAAACTTTGTCACCATAAATATTATTGATTCAATTTTATTCATTTATCATTCTAAGCATTTATTTCCAAAGGAGCAACATCATTTAATGCCCCAACCACCATAACTCACAAACACATACACAAATATCCATTAATTTTATGATCTCATCAAAATCCAAATGAGAGTTGAAATACTCACCACCAATAGACTACCAAGCTTCCTAAGATTAATTTACAAGCCTTGAATAAACTCAAACCACTCACAAATGCCCTCTTCCACACCAAAATTGTCCAAGCTACGGGGAAGAAGATCTCTTGACACAATTCTCCCCACAAGGTACACTCCACATGAAAGTTGATCGCAAGGATAAGAGGAACAACTTTGGTGTTTAAACTTTTCACTAAAATGGTCTCTAACTCAAGATGGAATTTAAAGCTCTTCCAAGCCCCTAACAATGGTGATGCTCGACGGTGACGGAGAAGAGAGGAGAGAGAGTGAGGTTAAAATCTAATTTCTTAAGCCTTTAAGTCTTATAAGTCACTTAAAGTGGGGCCCCATGTGTAGATTTACTCACTTAAACATACTCATTTAACCCACCAATCATCACTAAATTTATAATACATTAATTTTATCCCAACTCTTCATGTTTTTATTTCCTATAGCATAATTTCATCTTTCACCTTTTCCGGTAAAAGTACAACGCAATATTTTATTTGGTAAAAATCACTATTCATCCAAATTTCTCAAAATATACCTACGAACTCCAAATTTTGTTCTGAATCCATTTCCGGTATTATTTTCCACAAATTAAGCTCTGTTTTATCATTTCAATATCCAGGGTTACACAGTTGGTAATTTAACATTTTGCCCCTGATGGGTATTTTGACCCCAAATATCAGGATTTTTACTAATTAAACCCTCTAACCCTCAATTTAGCATTTAATATCACAATTAACTATACAAGGTGTTATATTCACCCCACCTTTTAGGAATTTTGTCCGCAAAATTAAGAACATACATGTCCACTAACTCAAGATGCAGCCGGATAATCTCATCCTTCTGCTCCCATGTAGCTTCCTCAAGTGTATGCCCATCCCATTGTAATTTTACCATAGGGATAACCTTGCTTCTAAGCTTCTTTTCGCCCTGCTCAAGAATACACATGGGGCCAACAGGAGTTTTCAAGTTCTCCCGTATCTCTATGTCATCCGGAATCACCACAGGTGACTCATCCGAAATATATCGTCTCAACTGTGAGACATGAAACACGTCATGTATATTAGACAGATTTGGGGGCAAGGCAAGCTGATAGACCATTAGTCCCACAAGTTTATTTATCTGATAAGGTCCAATGAACTTGGGACTCAACTTTCTTACTCCCAATGCACGACCAACACCTGTAATAGGTGACAATCTCATGAACATGTTCTCCCCTTCCTCAAATTCTAGGGGTATATGGTTATTATCATAGTAACTTTTTTGATGATTCTGAGCCTGTTTCAATTTCTCTTTGATCATAGCAGTTTGCTTGGTAGTCTCATGCACAAAATCCGGGCCAAATCTTTCTTTATCACCTACCTCAATCAAACATGTAGGAGTCCGACATCTCCGTCCATACAATGCCTCATACGGAGCCATGCTTGTCCATACAATGCCTCATACGGAGCCATACCCAGGTTGGAGTGAAAACTATTGTTATAAGAAAACTCTACCACTACAAGGTATTTATCCCAAGCAGTTCCATGCTCCAAAGTACAAGCTCTTAGCATATCCTCCAGGGTCTGAATAGTCCTCTGAGTCTGACCATTAGTCTGTGGATGATACACAGTGCTTAGCCTAAGCTGAGTGCCCAAAGCCTGCTGCAAAGCTCCCCAAAAATGAGAAATGAACTTCAGATCCTGATCGCTAACAATACTATCAAGAATCCCGTGAAGTCGCATAATCTCATCAACATAGAACTTCGCCAGTTTCTTCATAGAGAAATCAACTTGCATCGAAAGAAAATGTGCAGACTTAGTAAGTCTATCCACAATAACCCAAATCGAATTATAACCAACCTGAGTCCGAGGCAAACTAACCACAAAATCCATAGAGATGCTCTCCAGATGTTCAATGCAAAAACAATAGCAGCGAGCTCCAAGTCGTTAGTCGAATAATTCTCCTCATGAGGCTTTAACTACCTGGATGCATAAGCAACAACTTCTCTTTTCTACATTAGTACAATACCCAACCCTTTCTTAGAAGCATCACGGTATAATTCAAACTCACCCTCTGGATCTAGAAGAGTCAACACCGGAGCAGTAGTTAATTTCCCTTTCAGAGTCAGAAAGCACTCCTCACATTCCTGGGTCCACACAAAAGAAGTATCCTTTTGTGTCAAGCGGGTCAATAGTAGTACCATTGTAGAAAACTCTTTAATAAATCTTCTATTGTAACCAGCTAGACCCAGAAAACTACTAATTTCAGTCACTATTTTAGGACGTTCCTAATCCATTACCTGCTTCTATATTGCTTGGGTCCATCGCAACACCATTAGCCGAAATCACATGACTCAAGAATTGCACCTCAGAGAGCCAAAACTCACACTTCGATGGTTTGGTGTACAACTTTTTCTTCTTCAACACCTGCAACACAATCCTCAGATGATCTGTATGCTCCTCTTTACTCTTGGAATAGATCAAAATATCATCAATGAATACAATAACAAACTGGTTCAGATAAGGTTTAAAGATGTGATTCATGTAATCCATGAACACCGCTGGAGCATTAGTGAGTTCAAATGGAATATTTTGGTACTCATAATGTTCGAATCTGGATCGAAAAGCCGTTTTAGGAACATCCTTCGGCTTAATCCGAATCTGGTGATATCCTGACCGAAGGTCGATCTTAGAAAATACACAAGCACCCCTCAGTTGGTCCAGAAGATCATCAATTTATGGCAAAGAGTACCTGTTCTTGATAGTAATTTTATTCAATTCTCGATAGTAAGTGCACCATTTCATACTACCATCCTTCTCTTTACAAAGATTACTGGTGCTCCCTATGGAGACACACTAAATCTGATAAAGTTTTTCACAAAGAGCTCTTCAAAATGTTTCTTTAGTCCAGCCAATTCTAGCGGCGACATCCGGTATGGATCCAAAGAGATAGGTCCCACACTAGGCAACGGATCAATGGAGAATTCAATCTCCCTTTTAGGTGAAAATTCTGGTATATTCACAAACTCACTCACCACCGGTATATTCAAAATTTCTTCTTCCCTATCACCAACTAGACCACCCAATAATACATAACCTAAATCCCCAGCCTTCAAGGCTTTAATAGTTTGACACAGAAAAATACGAAGACAGACGAACAACGGGCTTCTTAGGAGATAAGATCAACCTCTTTCTGCAGCAATCAATCATTGCACAATTTTGAGACAACCAGTCCATACCCAATATCAAATTAACCGAGGCCAGGGGTAAGATAATCAAATCAATAGTGTAATCCTTGCCTTCATACACAAACTCAACATCTTTACAAATGAATGAGGAATCACTAACCTCTCCGATAGCAGTAGTAATACGCATAAGGGGACCATCTTTGTTACCCTTAAATTTAACACCTTAGCCACATATTACGCAACGAAAGAATGCGTTGCTCCAGAATCAAACAACACAAATAAGTCGTGATTAGAGATAAAGATTATACCTTTTACCAAATTCGGTGCCTTTTCAGTCTGCTGCGCATTAGTAGTATATACACATCCCACAGTAGGAACAGATGGCAAGGCCTGCAGATTCGCAACTTACGCAACATTATAAGTACAATTTCGAGCAAAGTGGCCAGTCTGACCACACTTGAAGCAAGCACCTGGAGTCGCACCACACTGACCTTTGTGGTATTTCTTGCACTTCCCATATTGTGGGGTAAAATATCTATCATTTGGTTTGCCCCCGGGGCTCTAGCCCTCTTGAATTGTCTTGAAGGTTGCCTTACTTGTAAACCTTTGCCTTTGTTATTACCCTTCTAGTTGGAACCAGAAGGATTAGCATTCTTCTTCATCTCTTGCTCACGAGAAGCATTGGACTTCGGGTACCTCCCATAAACAGTCTCTACCTTTTTGCATTGGGTAACAAGATCTGCAAAGTTTCGCACCACAATATTTGACATACGTTTAGCAATCTTCTCACTAAATCCCCTTTGGAACTTGGCTGCCAAGAATTTCGGAGTAGGTAGAACTCCACCATAGTTAGCAAACTTCATGTGCTCATTAAACTTCGCCACATAGGCATCCACCATTATATTTCCTTGTACCAACCTATCAAACTCTCATTGCTTCGCTTCCCTAGCATCTCTAGGAAAGTATTCCTCATGGAATAGATTCTGGAATAGCGCCCAACACATCTCTTGTCCTTGAATCTTAAATGGCCTCGACGCATTGCAGCACCACTCATGTGCCTCACCTTCCAGCATATATACTGAATACCTTAGTCTCTAAGGATCCTGATACCTCATAACTTGAAATATCTTCTCTATGCCTTGTAGCGATGTAGTAACTACCTTAGGATCCTTAAACCCCAAAAAGGATGGAGGCTTGTGTTTTCGAAAAGATACCAGTCTTCTCTCCTCCGCATTCGCCTCTTCAAAGTGCTCAACAACGACAGTATGTTGACTAGCATCACTAGTGTGATGACTAGCCTCACTCTCCCCCTACTGAGGAGTCATAACAGGTGTAGGCGTAGGTGTAGGAGTCACCGTAGCTGTAAGTGGAGGGGAATCATCTCTCCTCTGGGCATTTTTCTCTACCCTCATCTCAGTGACGAATGTTTGAAGCAATTCTTGGTTTGCTTTCATGAGATTCTCAGTAGTAGTCCTATTAGCAAAAGCTTCACTCTGCAGGTCAGTCAACACTGTGTAACACCCTGTAGTACTCTGATTGTTAACATACATGATATTTAGCGTACACAGCGAAAGACTTGATTTTATTAAATATGAAATCGTCTTATAAAAGTATGAGTGAACTTTTTCCAAAATGTTTTTTTAAAAATATTTCTAAAATCGTTCACATGAGATATTGCGTAAGCGTGAATCTAAAACATGCAACTACTAACTAATCCCTTTAGCCATTATTAGTGGCCATTGACTAACTGGATATGACAACAAGTATCATTCCTGCTAGAGTCTCACAGATAGCATAACGGTTGTTTAACGGATAACTGGGAGATAAGAATCTCACTCAATAATATAATCCTGATAGACACAGTTTATATAATCAGACATCTCACAAGTCCCACACGAACTGTGATCCCTTCAATGGGTCAGTACATACATAAGGCTCCATGCCCAAACTAAACATTACTTACAGCATGTTCATATAATAAACACATGCATCTAAACAAATACATAACCAATACATAATTCTCTATAAGCTCATCGAATACAAGTCACGAGCATTATTACACAATTAACATAATCTCAAAATACATAACTTTAGCATGATAAAAGCTAAACATGCTATCAAATAAATATCCACTAGCACTCCACTAGCCACGTGCCTGGTCCTTGCCCATGGAAGGCTCACCACTATGGTAGGTACATGAAATGATGTCCCCAAGAAGGGGTGAGATAACAACAATCTCAGTATGCTCAAGATTTATAAAGAATCCTTTATTCCCTTGAACTCACTTCCTGTATGACAAGTCAGATATAAAACATACATATAATCATACAGCATAAGCATAGCAACATATCTGATCCTGGTTAGCTATTCCAGAACTCGAACCTCGAATAGCCAACACCTGGCATGTCCAACATGCTAGTGTGCAATAACCCCCAGAGTCCGGTCATAGGCAGTCTACACACAATATCTCAAGAGCATGAAATAACTCAAGGGAATGACCCAAGAGCCTACATACATATTCACTGGCTAGGAACCTCATAACATACATCATCAGTGCATCATAACATAATGAATCATATACTCTCTATATGAATGTGGATGAATGCACATATACAACATATCTCATACTTTCATACAATTGCAACCATAAGCCCACCATCATGGTGGAGTCACAAGAGAAGAGGAACATCCTAAACAAAGAGCTTACCTCTGAGAGCTATACTCAAGCCCACTTGCCAAGGCAAGTAGTACGTATGCTCCAACTCAATGTCCTCACAAACAAGTATCTCTAGGTACACCTAAAGAAGGAATCCTACATATACATTAATGACATATTAATTAGTCAAGTAAATATACAAGACTTAGCCATTTATAGATCCCATTGCCTTTTTACATACTTATATGCCAATAATATGCCCAACATAAGTCTGGACCATTAATTACATAATTACATGTTTTATTTCATAAGGAAGTGTTACCTTACAACAAAATCAACTATGTGATTTAAGCACTTCAATCATCTTAGAATTACACTCTAAGGCAACTAAGATAACTTGTATTATTTTCAACTCATCCTCCCATGTATATCCTTCATGGCCGTAATATACATAGGGTACATAAGGTGTTCATTTAT